GGATGTGCTGTGTTTCTGTTTGAGGAGGAGGAGTCAATGCAAACTCTGACCTCTTCCATCTCTACATATGTGTTGCAGAGTGAAGGACAGACACTAAATCACTGAAATACACACTGTAGACTGGACAGAGACAACTGGCTTTCACAATGATCAGACCTGATTATCTGGTGGTTATTCTCATCCTGTCATTTAACTCTGCAGGTAAGAACAAAACCTGTTTTTCTGACAGACCTCCTGGTACAAAGACAATATGGCTGCATTACAGAAACTAATGAGCTGTTTACATGTCTGTAGGTACTGAGGGTCAAACACTGACTGAGTCTGAACCAGTGGTTAAAAAGCCTGGAGAGTCCCACAGACTGACCTGCACATATTCAGGGTTTAGTAGTAATTAGAATTACTGGAATGCTTGGATCAGACAGGCTGCTGGAAAAGGACTGGAGTGGAGTGCTACTATCAGTGATAGCAGTAGCTACATCTACTACTCTGAGTCAGTGAAAGGCCGCTTCACCATCTCCAGAGACAACAACAGACAGCAGGTGTATCTGCAGATGAGCAGTCTGACGGCTGTAGACTCTGCTGTTTATTACTGTGCTCGATACACACAGTGATACAGGAAGGAGAAATGCTGTACAAAAACTCAACAAGTCAAAAGAAAGTCAAAACTTTGTGTTCTGGTAATCACAGTAAAAAAAACCTTGAGCTCAACATCATCAAAACACTAAAGGAAATATCGCCTCAATAAAACTGCTTCCATCAGATAGCAGCTACCAAAAGTTACATCAGACAATAGATATACTATTTGTCCTGAGTTTTGATTAGAAATAAAAAGATAATTTTCATTTATTGTTTTAAAAAATAAATGTTACATCATATGTCCAAACACAAATCCAAATGACAACTCTTGACAGGACAGTCCGTCCCTCTTTTATAGCCTGTCAGTGTCCCTCTCTATGCAAAGTGAACTTCCTCACAGTCTGCTATAAAGACTTGATATCATGCTGTCAGCTGCAGCAGAAGAAGAGAAGCTCCATCAGGTCACCTTCAACACCAACCATGTTCTCTGTAGCTCTGCTGCTGCTGCTGGCTGCTGGATCCTGTGAGTCTCACTGAGGCAGAGACACTGACAGAACGCTCACACTGACTGCTCACTGTTATTAACCTCGCTCACTATTCAACATGTTTCCCTCCACAGGTGTGAAGTGTGAACAGTAGACTCAGCCAGCGTCTGTGACTGTGCAGCCAGGTCAGCGTCTGACCATCACCTGTCAGGTCTCTTATTCTCTTGGCAGCTACCACACAGCCTGGATCAGACAGCCTGCAGGGAAAAGGACTGGAGTGGATAGCAATGGCAGCTACTGGATACACCACATACTTTAAAGATTCACTGAAGAGCAAGTTCAGTATTGACTTAGACTCTTCCAGCAACTCAGTGACTCTGAACGGACAGAGCGTGCAGCCTGGAGACTCTGCTGTGTATTACTGTGCCAGACACACACTGTGACACACACCATCAGTAGAGCTGAACAAAAACCCCTCAGAGCCTGAACACTTGTAACATGAAGCCACCAGAGGAGGAGCCCTCAGACCAGAAAATGATCTCAACACCCAGCTCACTGTTACATCATCAGTTTAAACATTTAGAGGTTATAATCACTGATACATTACTGTATGTATTCCAGAATACAAGACAAATAAAAAATGACAAATTGTCGAACATTAAACTTTTCAAGTAGACCTTATAAAATAAAATCAGCTGAATTGGTTTCAGTAGATGAATTGCTCTAAATGTTAGATGTGTAACAGGATCTATTCCCCTAAAAATATCAATCAGTACAAGCTACGAGCCAAAACTTACATTTCTTTGGATCTCACAATTGCAACAAATGCATTAATTGCTGTACTGATAACTGTGACACAATACGTCAGCTTTGATAAAAGGTATGGGATGCTTTTCGTCTATTTCAAACCTAGCCTGCAAAGTGATATACACGCTACATGATATAAAACTTAATCATAACAATTTTAAAACCTATTTTCAATAAACAGCAGCAGAAATTCAAGTTGCATCGGAAGAAACTGAATTAAATAAGAAATGTAAATGTAAAAAAGCAATATAAGGATAACATTGATATCAGGTTAAAATGTTGACAAAATCAACATTTAAAGAGATATTTTTTTAAGGTAAATATTAGTGTGAACAGAGGACAATGTTCAATCAGAAAGGAGGAGTCAATGCAAAACTCAGATATCTCCCCCTCTACTTATGTGACTGCAGAGAGGAGGACAGAGGACAGAGGACACACAGTTTAACATGATGGACTATAGGACAGGACTGCTGCTGCTCACTGTCTGCTGGGCAGGTCAACATCTTTACTTATTTAAAATGTTCACAACTTTAATTGTGTCAACAACTTATTTCACCAGATGTGTTTTTATCCTCTTGACAGGTGTTGATGGTCAGACTCTGACAGAATCTGAACCAGTGACTAAAAGGCCTGGAGAATCTCACAGATTGACCTGTACAGCCTCTGGATTCACATTAAGTAACTACCCTATGAACTGGGTCAGACAGGCTCCTGGGAAAGGACTGGAGTGGATCGCTTTTATACACACAGGCAGTACTTCTACCTATTACTCCCAGTCGGTCCAGGGTAGATTCACTATCTCCAGAGATGACTCCAGCAGTAAAGTGTATCTGCAGATGAAGAGTCTGAAGGCCGAGGACACAGCAGTGTATTACTGTGCCAGAGACACACAGTGAGAGACAGTAACAGGAGAGCCGTACAAAAACTACTTCCTCTATTTACCAATACCAATGAGAGCATTTACTTTATATTGAAATACTGAGTAACTGAATATTGACATCCTATTTCGTCTCATTTGACGCGATGTTTAATTCAGTTGTAACCTAAAGACATATCGTGAATTCAAACAGAAAAATATGTAATTTTGGTTCTTTTGTGTCTCCAAAAAAATATATCAAAGATAATATAAAAATGTCCCATTTCAAACAACGCAGCTGTTTATCTGATTCAGTATGGTTAAACTGTGCCCATGTATCTCTAGAAGTACATTAATGAAAGCACACTTTGATAACATTAAAAAAACATCTATTTGATTTGCCGATTGAACACAAATCATCATTATATCATAAACATTATCATCAGGAAAGCTTCATCTGTTTGAATTTGAAACATTACTGTCACATAACCACAACTAAATGAAGCAAATTCTATATTTAACACTGGAGACAAACAACTGATTCCAGTCAGCTAACTGGCAAACTTTAATCCACCGTAAACACATTGAGAAGTTGATTAAATAAAAAATATATATTAATAATGTTTCCCTTCAAGAAGCAGCTGATCATCTAATCTCTAACCCAAATTCAATCAAATACACCTGAGATTAATTGTTAGTTAATTAATTGAGTTTATTGTCGTATTGGATGTAGGCCTAGCTGTGTCCCTCTTGCAATCAAAATCGTTATACTTTACATGAAGTAAATTGTTTGTCCCTTTATAAATGGCCTTGCAAAATTATTCTGAAGAAAAAACACACCCTTAGTTATAGGAGGAGTCAATGCAAAACTCAGATATCTCCCCCTCTACTTATGTGACTGCAGAGAGGAGGACAGAGGACAGAGGACACACAGTTTAACATGATGGACTATAGGACAGGACTGCTGCTGCTCACTGTCTGCTGGGCAGGTCAACATCTTTACTGATCTTAATCTAACACAGCTTCTAATTGTGTCAACAGTTTATTTCACCAGATGTGTTTTTATCCTCTTTACAGGTGTTGATGGTCAGACTCTGACAGAATCTGATTCAGTGACTAAAAGGCCTGGAGAATCTCACAGATTGACCTGTACAGCCTCTGGATTCGCATTAGGTAGCTACCACATGGCCTGGGTCAGACAGGCTCCTGGGAAAGGACTGGAGTGGATCGCTTTTATCACCAATGGTGGCACCCCGTACTACTCTGAGTCAGTGAAAGGCCGCTTCACCATCTCCAGAGACAACAGCAGACAGCAGCTGTATCTGCAGATGAACAGTCTGACGGCTGTAGACTCTGCTGTTTATTACTGTGCTCGACACACAGTGACTGAAGCTGGTTGAGCAGCTGTACAAAAACCTACAGTCTTCATCCGTACTTTGTTGATAGAGTACAAGGAGAGTTATACGTTGACTAAATCATTAGTTGTTGTCGTTTTTATGTAAATGAAAAAAACCGTTACAACAAGTTACAAAACACAATAATAAAAAGAAATATGTATTTAAAATAATAATTTCCTCATAAAACAGCCAAGGACAGAAATAACATCTTCTAAATGTATGTTTCATGTATGGGCAAAAAGAAACACTAAATGTAGACCTTTCTGTCACATTACTCACATTCAGTTGGAAGTGAAGCAGCCTCATGTGTTAACCCTTTCATGCATAGAGGTCACTACAGTGGACAGCTATTCAAAAGGTGTTTTCTTGTTATGCATTGTTGTTTTTTGCAGAGTTGCACCATCAGCCACTACATAGGACCCTATTGCATCATCCCATACACTGCTACTCAGTGGAAAGTCAGTGTAAGTGCATGATACATGTCTCTAAACCAAGATGGACGACAGAAAGCCACATGGACCAAGTCACCCATCTATATCTTGCCAATCCTTTCATGGAAAGCGCTCCCTGCAGGTATAAAAAATGTGGTGACATCAAGTAACAACTAAGGAATCATATAATTCATAAATTATCAAAGCATTGATTTTATGTTTGCAGGAAATCATGATTAACCACCTGTCCACTACAGTGGACGTCATGCATCACTGGCTATATTTCAACTATAATTCATACTGGTACTGCTGCTGCTGTACCCAGGGCCGTCCCTCCCTACAGGCAGATCACGCAGACTGTGTGGGGCCTCACCTTGTGGAGGGGGCCACACCTTGCGGAGGGGGGCCTCATCTGAGGCGCACCTATGCGCTTATGTGGCGCAATTAGGGTGGCGCGGCACGGTTTCGCCGCTGCGAGGCTCCACTAGCACTCATCAAATAACTGTGCGTGGGGCCTCAAATTGGCCCCCGTCCCTGGTTATTCTTGAAAATATTTCATCTGCAATATCTTTTTGCGCCGTAAATCAATATACTGATGTTATTATAATGTAATTTTAAGTTTGCACATCTTTATTTATCATTTTTTTCCAAATTTACATATTTTCAGTTCAAACCCTGAACACATACTGTCCACCTGAGTGGACATATAAAAATCTATTTAAAAAAAATAGATTAAAAAAAAAAAATTGTCAAATCTTGTTTTTCATGCCCCAAGAGCAATAATAACACTTGGTAAAAAAATCCTGACTGAGGTTTTCATAATTCATGCATGTCTCACGTCTAAAAGAAATTCATGATGAACAGAAGGAAGAATGGCTGTTTGTTCTTGTGATTGTGCATTGTGATATACGCTGGATAGATAAATCATTCTGCAATAAGACAAACTTTCACTTTCTGGGAGAAAATCTTTGTCTTCCTGAGTGACATGTTGCTGTTTTAGCAGTAATCCCCCTCACTGAGGTGACCTATCATTTTCAAATGAAAGTACGAGACTGACAGAGCAGCTTGTTTTGTATACATTAAATCACCCACCAGACTATAGTCTCTCAGAAATGCACATACCAACAAGTAGAAAAGACTAAACAACATCTTATTATTGGGTCTGTTATGGACCTTCTCTCATATTTCAGCACTCCTCCTTCTCTCACAAATTTAGTATTTATGTATCAACACTTCAACCCCCCCCAACAAATGCAAATCCCAACACACTGATGGATAATCCCCACCCATTCTGCGAGCACAATATATATCCTTCATACAGCCTCTGTTGTTGCAGACTCGGACAAGTTCCCACCATGACATTGGTACAAAGCGTGGTCCTCCTGGCTCTGGTTTCAGGTGAGTGAAGTCGGTCCAGCAGAGGAGGAGAAGAGCTGCTGGTTCCCCTTCATCTAAACTCTGTGTCTCTTTCAGCGGCTCAGGGCCAGTCCCTCACCTCCTCAGAGCCGGTGGTCAGCAGAGCAGGAGAACCAGTCTCTCTGTCCTGTAAGGTGGAAGGACTTCCTCTGGCTTGGCTGCACTGGATCAGGCAGAAACCAGGGAAAGGACTAGAATGGATCGGACGCATTGATAGTGGAACTGGCACCATATTTGCCCAAAGACTGCAAGGCCAGTTTTCCATCACCAAAGACACTTCCAAAAATCTAGTGTACTTGGAGGTGAAGAGTCTGACACAAGAAGACTCTGCAGTTTATTACTGTGCACGAGAGCCACAGTGACACACTAGACTACCACGCTGTACAACAACTGAACATCTGTACACCTGTATGAAAACCACTGAAGCATGTCAGGGCTGTGAAAACACAATTCCCATTGGATGATCGCCAGCTGATAATGAAATGTATTTCATTTAGAAAAACATGTGTGTTATTGCGTTGAGAGAGGTTGTCATGACTCACAGAATACCTGCATTTTTTTAAAGGATAACCTTATATAACATAAGTTTGAATCCAGTGAATACTGTGGTTTAAATAAAGAATTATGTTTTACTGAAATAACATCTACTCATTTTGACAGTTTTAGGAATTGTTTTTACAATAAATCAAATAATGGCAACACAATCTTTGCTAAATCAACTATGGTGACTCTTCTACATCCTTAGAGATGTTTTCTGCAGCCTGAGGACACTGTTGGGTTTTACTGTGTAAGTGTAAGAAGTGCAAGGATACGAACCACCAACAAAGCCAACAAATACTCAATAACCAAGTTACTCAACCACTCTTTTTATGGGACCATGGGTCATTTTTTGGCATGGATAAAATACTTCAAAACAAAAAGGGAGCATGACTCTGAGTTTAAAGTCAGATGTCAAATAGAAGGATAAGTGAATATCATTTTAAAAAAGACAAATAATTGAGTCAATTAGATCAAACTACAACAGAGTCCCTGCATGAGCCCCTCCCTCCCCATGCTATCCTGATGCAAATCTCCAGTGTGTGCAGAGTACTTCTGTCTGACTGCTCTGTACTTTGTGTGGAGCATCAGAGGTCACATCTCCAGTCTCAGGATGATCAACTCTCTCTCTCTTCTGCTGGTTGCTCTCTCTCTGCCCTGTGAGCTCTCCTGCTTCTTGATAATTTATCTTTTATCAGACAACATCCACTGATGGTCAGTCAGTGATTCAGCCCTGTGTTTGGTGTGTTAGTGAACATTTCTCTTTTTTGTATCTTGTCAGGTTGTACAGGTCAGAGTATGGAGTCTATTCCTTCCTCTTCAGTAGTGAAGAGGCCTGGGGAGACTCTCAGTCTCTCCTGCAGGGGATCTGGCTTCACATTTAGCTGCTGCAGCATGCACTGGGTCCGACAACCTGCTGGAAAAGCACTGGAATGGATGGGTCGTGTTTACAGCGATGCAAGTAGAACAGACTATGCCAGTAGATTACAAGGAAAGATAGAAGTCACCAGAGATAATAGCAACAGCATGGTGCATCTGAGGCTGTCCAACTTGAAGCCAGAGGACTCTGCTGTGTATTACTGCGCCAAACACACACACAGTGGTTAAAGGAAGCCCAGAGGCTTTACAAAAACCTCTAACTATTTATTATCACTAGTACCAACAGGTGGCAGTAAATGATAAAAAGTCAGATGACAGTAAGGAGAAAAAGACAGCTTTTCTAAACACACTATGAAAGCAACAGCTGATGTGGAATTTCACTTCCCCTTTTTTAGATATACATTTTACTTCAGGAATTCTTGCAACAATATTGTCCCATTATTTATTTTTCAACAGAAAGTATCAAAAATAGATTTATGCGTGATGTATCCAGTATGTGGGTTAGGGTTTTGCTGAGCAGAATAAATGATTACATCTTATTTAAGTTTAAATAAAAGTTAGTGATAAGTCACTATATCCTTATAATTGTCTAACCACAAATCCAAAAGACAACTCTTGACAGGACAGTCCGTCCCTCTTTTATAGCCTGTCAGTGTCCCTCTCTATGCAAAGTGAACTTCCTCACAGTCTGCTATAAAGACTTGATATCATGCTGTCAGCTGCAGCAGAAGAAGAGAAGCTCCATCAGGTCACCTTCAACACCAACCATGTTCTCTGTAGCTCTGCTGCTGCTGCTGGCTGCTGGATCCTGTGAGTCTCACTGAGGCAGAGACACTGACAGAACGCTCACACTGACTGCTCACTGTTATTAACCTCGCTCACTATTCAACATGTTTCCCTCCACAGGTGTGAAGTGTGAGCAGTTGATACAGCCAGCCTCTGTGACTGTGCAGCCAGGTCAACGTCTGACCATCACCTGTCAGGTCTCTTATTCTGTTAGCAGCTACTGGACAGCATGGATCAGACAGCCTGCAGGGAAAGGACTGGAGTGGATAGGAATGGGAGCTGGTTCAACTACACACTACAAAGATTCACTGAAGAGCAAGTTCAGTATCGACTTAGACTCTTCCAGCAACACAGTGACTCTGAACGGACAGAGCGTGCAGCCTGGAGACTCTGCTGTGTATTACTGTGCCAGAGACACACTGTGACACACACCATCAGTAGAGCTGTACAAAAACCCCTCAGAGCCTGAACACTTGTAACATGAAGCCACCAGAGGAGGAGCCCTCAGACCAGAAATGATCTCAACACCAGCTCACTGTTACAGTCAAGAGGGAAAGAGTACTAAGATGTCATCGAAATATTCTTAACTTAAATCGTGTTTGCTCAACCTTGTACGTCAGCCCACAGTGACACAAACCACCAGCAGACCTGCACAAATACTCAGCAACCATGTGACTCAACCACACAGAGTATAAATGTGAACAATGATACACACCTCACTCTCTGACAAGTTCATTAAAAAATGTATTTAAATGTCTGTGTAATATTATTTCACTTCCACTGCAGCCAAGATCAGTATAGAAGAGACTGAGAGAGAATTCATTTTGCACAAATGCAAAACACATATGCCAATTGAATTCATACTAAATGAGTTGTGTGCCTTGTGATGCCTGTTAAATATAGAACACATTTTCTGTGTTTCTGTTTAGATCTACTGGAATAGAAAATAACAGTAGCTCTACCACTGAAGAAACAGGATGTCATTGCAGAACATAAACAAAGTATTTTCCTCTTTTGTTGTTTTCATGAATCCAGAAATAAGTGGACAGGAAATGTAAGTGAATGTGAAATGTAAATGCAGCCGTCGTAGAGATACTCTGCTTATGGAAATGTTGATGTCACATGTTCCTTTTTGAATCTGTAGAGGGAGGTCGATGCAAACTCTTCCTCTCTTTAAAACACACCATCAGCGACTTGTTGCAGAACACCAGAGAAGTGTTATATGTTTCTGAAACACTCAGATCAGAAAGCACTGACAGTGTCTCTCAAATAATGGAAAGGACAATTATCTGGAGTTTATTATTTTTAGTTACTATTCATGGTGAGAAACATCACTTCTGATTTACTTCTTTTTTGTATTTCTTTGGTGAAATGTTGGATAATGAGCAAAAATGATTTACTTACAGGAGTCTGGAGTGAGATCAAACTGGAGCAGTCCTCCTCTCAGGTGCAAAGACCTGGAGGGACAGTGAAGATGTCATGTATCATATCTGGTTTTACAATGACAAGCCATTATATTAATTGGATCAGACAGAGGCCAGGACAAGCTCTGGAGTGGGTTGGGTGGATGGACACAGGCAACAACTCTCCTACTTATGGCAGCTCCTTTCAGAGCCGCTTCACCATGACTGAAGATGTTCCCAGCAGCACTCAGTACCTCGAGGTCAGCAGCCTGGCAGCAGGAGACTCTGCTGTTTACTTCTGTGCTCGTGACACACAGTGACTAAAGACAGTGGAGCAGCTGCACAAAAACCTCCACTAACCACAAAGCAATGTGATCCATACACTTCTGGGTTTTCGCACAAATTGCAATAACACTTGGATGATGTATCCACATTAGATTTCTATGTGTTTCCCATTAATCACCAGATAGTCCCACATGATATCTTATTATTTTATTTTAAATAACATATGTCATATTTATAAATACAAACCACAAATTACATTGAATATGAAAAGAGAAACAAGCTGAAAAACAATATTTGATCAGACAGAGAGCTTGGCTGGGTGACTAGATTATTAGAAAGGCGACATATGAGACTTTAATAAAGAAAATGTACTAAACACTATTATATATTGGTGATCAGAATAATATTGTAGATTATTTAGATTACAGTAAATGTACTTAAAAAATATTTCTTGACCCCTCATAACTACCGGTGACAAACAAATTGAATCCAACAAAACTCAAATTGATTTTAAACATACACCATTGCTTTGACGTCACATTTTTATTCAACAATTTTGCAGCAACATTAACAAAATGATATAGTCTATATTTATAATATATAGTGTTCTCTTCATGTCCAAACCAGAGTTTAAAAGCCTAAAAGGAAAAGTGTTCCTAAATATGTCACGAAACATAGAAAACAGCTGCTATTTTAAATATTTACAGCAGATTAATACTGTGCTAAAGTTTCTAAATGTATAGTCTGAATAGAGGATGTTGACCACCATTTAGTGGGTTTGTGTTGCATCAATATAGTTAAAAAATACTTTTAAAAGAATGATCTAGAGTCATTTTAAAATGTATGTTTGAATTAGATTAAAGTGGTTATGGTACCTAAGCCATGTCATGGTATTAATGACAATTCCATAAAAAAAGCAAAAATGTAATACAAAAAATATACACTAAATGAAGCAAAAAGGCAAATTAGGCAACTTTTTGTATATTATAATATGTATTTTAGTTTATTCCTACTGAATGCTGACAAAAAGTGTCCCTTCCCCCAGAGCAGGAAACTGTGTGTGGTTTTTGTATGAGGGTTTATCACCGTGATGGACGGGTGGGGGGCACAGAGATACAGATCCATACAAAAACCTAAGAGCAGTAAACCAACACTCTCTCATTCTTACATTGACAAAAAAGGACAGGACAGAATACTTCTTGTTGGAATATGCTGTAACTACTGTGGTTATCATATTTACTAGAAAGATAAGTAGTTAAAACATGTTTTAATTAGAAGTTTAAAGTTGTGTTAGTGACTGGAGGTAAATGCTATCTGCAGTAAATCATAACTTTAAAAAACTGATTTAGAAAAACCACAATACACATGCTCAGAATATGACATCAGGGTTTAACACCGTCAAGGATTTCCTCGTATTTAATTAAATGTATGACGTTTTATCACACTTTTCGGGTACCTCAGGTTTTTGTACAGGCAGTGAGTGCAGATGCATCACTGTGCTTATTTTGACTACTGGGGACAAGGAACTAGAGTCACAGTTTCTAATGGTAAGTCACATTTAAATGTTATATTTTTAGTAAGAGGTTCATTATTTTATTACTGTAATTATTGGTTGTATTTTTGATCTCATTGACATTGATGCTGTGCAATAGAGGTGTATGTATGCAAGTCTGGTCCTTTTTTCTTTGTCATTTGTCCTAATGTAGGCGGCAGTTTTAGCTTAACTTAGAATTAAATCAGCTGGAATAACAAAAAGGTTGCGGCTGATTCATGTTTTATTAACATAATTCAATGAAATGTGTATTACCGTGGATATTAATTATAAACCTACTGTACCTGAATTAGTTTTTAATAGAACGGTACTGTCAATCTGAACGTAGAAAATATATTGAATATTTTGTTTTGTCAGTATGTGTTTTAATTAAATAGCTGAACACTGATAGAGTCATAATACTTTTACATGAAGTAGATGAGATAAAATGTTTATTTAAAAACAAACAGGAATGTGGACTCTTTTGAAGAGACGTGTCCTGAAGATTTAAATGTTGATAATCTATCTTAGTTTTAGAGAAATCATTTAATTTCATGTATTTCCTCCCAAACCGTTTTTTACGTTTTTTAGATTTAACGTTAAATACAAAGAAGCAAATAATCCGGCAACACGGTTGGTAAAAGCCAATGTATCAAAATGCGTAGCTTTATGTTTTGCTTCATCAAATAAATAGCCTTCATTTTTATTGTGCAACTGCCGACAGTCCTAGTTGCTAGTTTGACTACTTGGTGATTATATCATTTATTTTAACATTATCATATAATCATTATTTATTCCTTTTTGTATTATACAAATACATATCTAAAAAAAGCTTCTTAGGATAAACCCGCTGCGGTTTGATATTTACAACGATGCTGATTTTTTTAAATCAAAAAACACAAGGGTTTAATATTAAATTAATATTAAATTAATTTGAAAATAAGTAACACTCATTAAACTATTGAATGAAATAACATTTTATAAAATAGAGCTAATTTTTAAACCTTTATTGAATCGATTATAGGTTTATATCATATTTTGTAGTTATGATTATTTAACTTTAAAAACTTGTATTCTTAGTTTTTTTTAAAAGTTGAAAGATTCAAACAACTATTAGCTTTACGATGAGCAAATGAACAGCTTCGATAATTTATTTGAGTTTGTATTTATAAGTTTAATCAGTTATTTATTGTTCAGTGCAACGCAAGGACTAAAGATAAAACCACTGTTGGCTGTTCTCAAGATTGAAACACATTTTGTATAAATGAATTGTTTATCACAAAACACAGCTGTATTAAATATTGGTGCCATTGTGATGTGTTTATAGAGGTGCTGAACGGATACGCAAAAATATACAGTAGAACATTATTAATTAAAATATTTAATTTCATTTAAATTATCTTTTGGGATTCTTTCTTCAATTTCAGAATGTTTGTTATATTTATAATTACCTTTAAGATAAGCTACTGATCATTCTTTAATCGACCGTTTTGATTTCTAAAACTCGTTGACAGAAATCGTTGCATCTCCGACTCTGTTCCCTCTGGTTCAGTGCAACCCTGGCTCAGCAGAGACAATCACGGTTGGTTGTCTTGCAAACGACTTCTCCCCAAATAGTGTGACTTTTCAGTGGACTGACGCCAGTGGGACAAACCTGCCCGCTGTACAGTATCCTCCAACAGTGAAAAACAACAAGTATACAGGAGTCAGTGTTGTCAACGTACCAAAATCTGAGTGGGATTTAAGAAAGTCTTACAACTGTGCTGTGACTCACCCTGGAGGACAAAAAAGTTTGAGCATTAAAAGTACGTGATTTTATTTACTTGCTATCATGATCTTCTTTACTCTTTGAGTCCAAATGAAGCACATTCTCAGTTTTATCCTGAAAATGTTCATTAACACTCTCACTTTCTCATGTTTATCTTCATCCATCATGTGTCTTACTTAAACAAATCTAAAATGATGCATTTCAGACTGATATCAATTAAAATATCTATTTGTACTCTTTCTTCCCCATGCTTAGAGGTTAAAGCACCTTTCTCATGTTTATCTTCATCCATCATGTGTCTTACTTAAACAAATCTAAAAAATATCTATTTGTACTCTTTCTTCCCCATGCTTAGAGGTTAAAGCACCTTCATGTCCAGAGACTAACGGTAAAGAGCTACTACTGTCATTACATAATACTGTTTTACTGTAACTAATAGTATACATTATACTCAAATATAAGAGATCTACTGTTTGTATTTATTGATTTATTTCTGTTGATCTTGTTTCTGTAGCTACCATCACGATGAAACTGAACAAATCAAGTCCCAAAGAAATGTTCAACAACAACCAGGCAAGGTTCGATTGTGTCATTAGTGGAGATGACGAGACCACTGTCGATCAATTTCAAATCACTTGGCAAGTCAATGAAACAATTCGGACCACCAGCGAGCAAGGAAGATCGGGAGGAATAAAAACCAGCACAATGAGGCTCAGTCTCCATGAGAGCCTCAGTAATGTGCGCTGTTCTGCCTCTAAAGATGATGTGACAGTTTTTCAAGATCTGCCTCCCCCCAAAATAGGTTTGTTACACAGACTGATTGGTATAACAGCAGCTAACTCACTGACATGTCATATTGTATGTAATAGCCTAAATCTGAGTCTCTCTTTTAGATGGAAAGGAGCCAAAAGTAACAGTCCACATCGTCCCAGAGGAGGACATCGATGCAGACCCATCCGACGAGGTCACTTTGGTGTGTCTGGTCTTCAGTAGTGAGAAGGATTACTACATTGCATGGGCTGAACATATTGGACAAAACACCCCAATCTACCAAGATGGCATCGACTTACCCCCTCAGAAGGCTAACAATGGCTACTTTGTTACAAGTATTTACACCACCAACAAGACAAAGTGGCAAAATCACATGTTCTCCTGCAACGTCTGGCCTGCTGGCGCCAAAAAGGCAATGGCACCAAGAACCGTGTCTAACTCAATGAATAACTCCATTGAATGTAAGAAATAGTAGATTCAACTTTTAGTGTGCTATTTTGTGCTATTGTGTTGTTCTGTCTCTATGTACTCTCCGTCACGACAAGCTGTCTTTGTGATTGTAACAATAACAGTTAACATGTCGATTCACTTGTGTTTGTCATAATACTTTGTTAAATGTTGTCTCTGTCAAATTGTCCGACTGCTTTAAAAGTGTGCTGACTGTTTCAAATAAATGTTGCATGGAGAAACTTTTGTTACATGAATTACTTTAATATTGTTTAACTATCTTTGTACGAGTAGTTTTAAGTGATGCCTTACAACACACTGCACCGTTCAACTGGATTAACGTCCACATATTGAGCCAAGTGGATGAGGCTTGACTCCAGTTTATGATGCAAGATCATGATCCAAGAGAGAAAAATGCATCATGTTACCTTTAATAAATACACCTTCCTCTTCTTAGATTTAATGTCAAAACTGAGTTCTGCTCTGAGCTGCACAGATGAGGCCATCGATGAGGAGGATGAGTACAGCAGCCTTTGGTCCACAACTTTGTCCTTCATATTCCTCTTCATATCCTCTCTCCTCTATAGCATGATATTCACCATGGTCAAGGTAAACATGCAGGTTTTCTCTGAATTTCATTCTTACTGACGACTAAAGCCGGTTTAAGATATAAAGCAGGATTATGAAAAACAATGTGACAGGTGTATTACAAGTTATGAGATCAAATGTAATAATTGAGATGCTTCATATTAAGGGAAAACCATTTGAACATACTCATCTTAGCATAGACAATATTTGACTTTGCAACAGCAATTTAATCACGGACAAGAAAGAGGGAGAAAATATTGTCAACGCTTGAAATGTGAAGGAATGCATACATTTAGCTTAACAAAATAGACAAAAAATAATCTAAAAATCATAAAAATAGTTCAATATCATCTAAAAAGCTCATTAGCACAGGATAATTTCTCTCTGAATCGTGAATTATTATTTCTGGCTGTCAAACATTGTGTTAAAAAAACTCAGCCAACCAGCACAGGCTGATTAAGCAACAGCAGAAAATGTATGCTTTATACGCCACTCTGCGTAAACTAATATATTAAAATGTATTGAATTAAAACAATAATAAATACCGACCTTAAGTTACAAATCATAATAGTGTATGAAGATACATATTTTTATGCCAAAGTCATTAAATAATGAAGCAAACATCGAGTGGAATAGAAAATATAATTGTTATAGAACATCTGCAGCAAGTCTGTTGCCATAACTATTGAAGACACATATATCATTTCATTATCATCAATTCTCCAGCAGGCTAGACATTGTTTTTAATTGTTTGTTGTTGGTTTTTTTCAGATGAAGTGGTGAGATGGATCCTAGACAACAATGACAAGTGTTCAACTGTTTAGATTTGTTTGTCTTATTGTTGTTTTAAAGGCATGTACATAATCTCTATATACTGTATGTCTTCTACATGAAATGGTCATCCTACATAACGATTGACACATTTCTGGGAAATTCATTGCTATAACTTTAGAAAATACAATTAGTTAGTTATTGAAACACTTTCCACAATGCAGATGGAAATAAACGTTATGCTATAATCTGGCATATAGCATAGCTTCTCTTTTTGAGATTAATGTATTTTTATGCATGGTCCATATTCAATAAAGATATATAAATAATTGTACGTGATTAACTGATTCAGTTTGTGATTATTTTCCTAAAAATACTGTAGCAAAATGGACATAATAAGAATGTTTTTTGGTTGAATATACATTTTTTGCTTTCATTTTTGGTCATTGTGTTGATCAAGTGTGCTTTGATCTTTAATTAAATATACTGTATACGAGATAAGATTTGGATGGCCGCTAATTCAATTAAAAGGAGTTTAAATATCAGCAATAGTGTGCTTTTGAGGATTTTCCGTCACAACATCTAAGAACATTTCATCTAAGAACATATACAACAACATCAAGTCAGCTATTGGAAACTTCTGTTATCAGTTAAGCTCTGAGGGTTTTTCATTTCCTGGGGTTTCTAAACATATCATCTTTAGAGAGTCACACTTCCCTCTCTCTGCCCCTCTGGGAGAACACCTGTAGTTGTGAAACTTTGTGGAAACCGTCAGAGCTACAAATAATCTTCCTCGAAACTAGAGAACCATATTTCGTTGAATACATTTACATATCGGAATATATCCATGCGTGAAGTGGCACAAATGAGTCCAGCAGACACACATTAACAATGTGAATTAGTTTAATCTGTTAGGTTTTTCCTAATTCTCAATCTGCCTGTATTAACATGAATAAAGTTGACTTATTCCTGCATATTAGTTGCTCCATTATGTCACTTGCATTGTTTAATCACTTAAGACTTATATTGCCAACAACTAATTTGTAGCTGGTGTTCATACAATAAGCCTATACATCTTTGAATATGGAAAAGATAGTGTTATGACCTGGCTCAAAAGGCCACAACAAAGAGGAGACGCACCATATCAACCGTTTAACAAAATATGTTTATTAAAGCAAGTGGTTCAAATTAGCCAAATGAATTAAGTGCAAAACAAGTAAAGCATGAGGTGTGGATGTCAGTGGTATCAGTAGTGTAAATGCAGGGTGAGGATTGCATGGACATATATATATCATGTATTTATTTTGCTATGTATATAAATGTCATGTTCTTAAATGTTGTATGTGAGGGACTACGGATGGAAACTAGCTCAAAGCTAAAATCCGGCATGTTTACGTTTTTAAAGCATTATTTGTTTTAAATGTTCATCAATGTGCACTGTCCTTCTTCAAATAAACGATTAAATGAAGAAAAAATGACATGTATGAGTGTGAGAGTGTTGAAGTGCACAAAGTGAAGCAACTGAAGAAACTCATAGCATACTGCACCGAAACCGGGTGCCTGTAGGAGAAAGCAGAGGGCAGACAGAGAGGAGCAGAGGCTTTAAATAGCTGCAGGGCACCAGACCCAGGTGCCCTGAGTTACTGCAATCAAGACAGCACAGCCACACCCTCTCTAGATGAACCCACAGGGGCATCACAGATAGAGATATATATTTTCAGTGTGCTTAATACAATATAAATCTGTTTAGCTGTTCTTCAGCAACGTGCAACACAAGTAATGTACCACAAGTTGCTATGAAGAAAAATGTATCTTTTTATAAACAAATACAAAATAATATACTTGTATGACAGTTCTTATTATTGTAATACTGCATTCCATTCATTCCACCCAGAGTTCCATGGAATGTCAAACAGAGACATTCTAGGACACTAGAACACCTAAGAATTCTACTAGGCCAATCTTCATATATCAGTCAGTCAGTTGAACTCACTTTCTTGTCAAGACTGGCTGTTTTCATTTGTCACTGTCTTATTTCAATCTTTTTGAAAAAAAACATTACTGACCTGATCTACAGGCAACAGGTTACCTGTTACAACATGGCTGCCTCTTTTGACAGCGACCTCCAGGTCATCAGAGGAGCAAAGCTGTCCTCCAAGTTTTCAGACTACCTTGTTCTGGACTTAATTGGACAAGGAGCCTTTGCAAAAGTCACCAAGTGTGTCAAGTCCGCCACCAATGAAACGGTGGCTGTGAGGATAACAAAGACACAGACAGAAAAAGAGCATGGCATCCTGCAGAAGCTCAGGAGCTTTGACTCTGACGTGGGGAACTTTGTAAGGTGGGACACCTCATTCCTCTACAAAGACCATCTCTGTCAATAATTTGAGCTGCTGGATATGAATCTGAAGGAGTTTGTGGATACGAGAAAGACCTTGTCTCTACCCCTGAAAGACATCCGGCCTATTGTACATCAGGTGGCAACAGCTCTGAAAGTCCTGAAAGACTTAGGGATCACTCACACAGATGTCAGACCAGAGAATATTATGCTAGTGGATCACTTACGGCAGCCATTAAAGGTCAAACTTATCGACTTCGGCTCCGCCTGCGATGCCACAAAAGCAGAGCAGGTCCCATCAATGCAGCACACGTGGTACATGGCTCCAGAGGCCATGCTGGGACTGCTCTGTGACGAGCCCATAGACATGTGGTCCCTGGGCTGCATTGCTGTTGAGCTCTTCCTGGGCTCTCCGCTGTACCCCGGGAGCTGTGAATATGACATGATCTGCAAGATAACACAGACTCAGGGTGAGATGCCAGGGCACCTCCTCAACGCTGGACTCAAAACAAGAAAGTTTTACCTGAACACTTGTCAAAATAAGTGGACACTCATGACACCACATGAGTATGGAGGCATGTCAGTGATTGACGGCATGTTCAGCTCCCTGGATGATCTGAAGAAAGTCCAGCCGAAGCAAGACAGTCATGCCTCAAAAGCACATGCCATGAGAGATAAGGCTGATCTGGAGAACTTTGTGGAGCTGGTCAAGCAGATGCTGCAACTGGATCCTATTCAGAGAATAACACCCAGCCAGGTGTTGCAGCATCTTTTCGTTACAACGAGCCATCAGATGGACTTCTGTCCTCCACAAAGTCTGAGATCCACACAGCAGCCATCCTCAAAAACCAGATATTTTCCTGGGGCTAAAAGTCCACACAAACCATTGAAACTGGTTGAGAATACTTCAAGCATCACTCTAATCCGGCCTCAGAGGAAAAGAAAGAGGGTCTCTGTCTCTGCTGGAAACAGATGCAGCGAATGCGCTTCCCCTGTAAGGAAGAAGCGGAGAACTTGTGGAGGTAGAGCTTCAGTGAAAAGGCGTTATTGGGAAATGTCAGAGGGCACTAGAGGATTTGGAGATTTCACTTCCCCAGAGAGAAAGAAGAGGAGATTATGGGAAGATAAACCAACGCCAAAAAGGCGATATTCAAAGGCTAGGAAAAGAAACCCAAAGACCTCCTCATCAGGGAAGAATATGAGAAGGATCTGTGAAGATGCACCTCTGTTGGTAAATAAGCCCATTGGTAGCATTTCAAATGGCAGCCCAATAACGCTGAAGATCCCATCACCAGAGAAGATGAAAGGGGAACTCACCCCTCTGGTAGACAGGCCTTCTGGTAAAATGTCAAGTGGCAGCCCAACAGTCCCAAAGATCCCATCACCAGAAAAGATGGTCGGGAAAGTTACACCTCAGGTTAAAAGGCCTTCTGGTCAAATTTCCGGTGGCAGCACGACAGTCTCAAAGTTCTCATCACCTGAAAAGATGATCTGGGAAGCCACACCTTTGGCCAAAAGTACTTCTGGTCAAATGTCATGGGGCAGCACAACAATCCCAAACATCCCATCACCAGAAAAGATGATCTGGGAAGCCACACCTTTGGCCAAAAGTACTTCTGGTCAAATGTCATGGGGCAGCACAACAATCCCAAAGATCCCATCACCAAAAAAGATGATCTGGGAAGCCACACCTTTGGCCAAAAGTACTTCTGGTCAAATGTCATGGGGCAGCACAACAATCCCAAAGATCCCATCACCAGAAAAGATGATCTGGGAAGCCACACCTTTGGCCAAAAGTACTTCTGGTCAAATGTCATGGGGCAGCACAACAACCCCACAGATCTCATCACCTGAAAAGATGATCTGGGAAGCCACACCTTTGGCCAAAAGTAATTCTGGTCAAATGTCATGGGGCAGCACAACAACCCCACAGATCTCATCACCTGAAAAGATGATCTGGGAAGCCACACCTTTGGCCAAAAGTACTTCTGGTCAAATGTCATGGGGCAACACAACAACCCCAAAGATCCCATCACCAGAAAAGATGATCTGGGAAGCCACACCTTTGGTAAACAGACCTTCTGGTCAAATGTCATGGGGCAGCACAACAACCCCACAGATCTCATCACCTGAAAAGATGATCTGGGAAGCCACCCCTTTGGCCAAAAGTACTTCTGGTCAAATGTCATGGGGCAGCACAACAACCCCACAGATCCCATCACCAGAAAAGATGATCTGGGAAGCCACCCCTTTGGCCAAAAGTACTTCTGGTCAAATGTCATGGGGCAGCACAACAACCCCAAAGATCCCATCACCTGAAAAGATGATCTGGGAAGCCACCCCTTTGGCCAAAAGTACTTCTGGTCAAATGTCATGGGGCAGCACAACAATCCCAAAGATCCCATCTCCAGAAAAGATGATCTGGGAAGCCACACCTTTGGCCAAAAGGCCTTCTGTTGAACTTTCAAGTGGCAGCAAACACAGCCCACAGATCTCTCTCCTCTCAAAGGGGTTGAAGAGTATCGTAATTACACAGGAGAAAGACACTACCATGCTACCAAGCACCTCTAAAGACGCTGCTTCCACTGTGACCCAGCAGAAATCTCTGAACCAGGGGGTCGACAAGAACGGAAAAACTCTAATATGGATCATTGGATCTGGTTACGTTCAAAGAGGAGAAGTTGCAGCCTATGAGAACTTCGGTGAGAATTTTGGACTTGACGTCAAAGTTCAATGGTTTGGCACAGAAGGCATGCTCTGGAAGGGAGTCCTACCCCGCTTTCAGGCAGAGTTGTCAAACTCTCAGAGACCCCCTGACATTTTGGTCATCCACGCCGGCGGCAACAGCCTGGGAACAATGCCTGCAATGAACCTTGCATCAGTCATGAACAATGAATTGATGAAGCTCCATTCACAGTTTCCTTCAATGGCCATTGCATATTCCTGCATCACCGAGCGGCAAGTGTGGAGAAATGGACCTCCAGGGAAGGTCAACTATGAC